TTTGGGTACAAATTTCTTCTAAACATCATCCGTTTCTTCAAAACCAGACAAAAGTTCATGTACGTTATTTTCAACAAAGTTATCATCTAGACGTCCTGTCCTTGCATTCAGATCCCCTCCGATGATCCACTCAACTTCTCCTAACTTATCGCTAATATCATGATAAGTCTTCACAAGAGACTGTATACCTTTAACCTTTTCATTATTAAACACAGGCGAAAATTAATGCGGGAGGTAGGGGAAGCATAGGACCACTTTACGATCTGTTTGTAAACAGGTCTCCTTCAACAGTAAACAAACACATTCTTTCATAGAAATTTCTAGCGTTGTGACTTGGGCACCTAACGACCGACGAACAAGAACAGCAACACCCCCACCTAACCCGTGCTCACGTTTTGCAGAGTAAATATTGTACTGGGGAAAGGCGAGGAGCAATTTTTCTTCACTACATGAGTAGACCTCAGAGCAAGCAAAAATATCATAAGACGAACAAAAGTGGACAAAATCAAGGTTAAACAATTATTATTTTTGCGATATGCCATGAACATTCCAACACATAATTTTTAAAAACATTGCTTGGGTGTTATCTATTGTTGTTGCAAGTCTGGGCCGGCCGTGTTCCTATTCTTTTGCTGTCGTTGAAGCCAAAGACTGACCCTGCTGTCTCCTTGTGGCCACACCACCGTCTCTGCCCCCCGTTGCCTCACCATCGCTCCCCGACTGATTGCGGGTGACCCTCTGTTGCTGTACAGACAGACAGACAGACAAAGAGACAGAGACAGAGATGCAGAGAGGCACACAGAGAGACAACAGGGAGGGGGGGGGATTATTGTATTACGACTTATTTACGTTTATGAAGAAGAAGAAGAAGGAGAAGAAGAAGATCAAGAAGAAGAAGGAGGAGGAGGGGAGGAGGAGGAGGAGGAGGAGGAGGAGGAGGAGGAGCAAAGAGTAAATGTTGAGGTGACGAAGCCGGCCCACCTCTGCAAGCCCATCTTGTGGCCTGTACGCTCGAGAAATGTGTGCAGTAGGCAAAATCAAACACCGCCCCCCCCCTCTCGTTCTGTCTGTCTGTCTGTCTGTCTGTCTGTCTGTCTGTCTGTCTGTCTGTCTGTCTGTCTGTCTGTCTCTCTCTTTCTCTCTCTAACATTCTCTCTCTCTCTCTCTCTCTCTCTCTCTCTCTCTCTCTCTCTCTCTCTCTTTTCTCCCCCCCTCTCTCTCTCTATTGAACATTTCTTACTTCACACAATATAAACTGTTAGACATTTTAAACCTCGCACATGATGTACGTTGAACTTTTAAAACTCCCCTCCTGTTATATTGCTGAACATTTTAACTTCACACCTTACATTAAACCTCACATTTTATATACGGTTGAACATCTTTAGCTTCCCACTTCATACAAATGGATATGTCACTGTTGAAGTTAGTCAAACCCGTTTGAAACCTTTTTGTAAATCAAAACTTGAATGATCATTTTAAGACAAATACAATTGCACTGGGTGTGAAAAAGAAAGTGACTGCTGTTTTTATTTCCAAACTTGAAATAGTCATGGGTCTAAAAAGAAGTGACAGCTTCAATAACAAATTCCCCGAATTCACAACGTCTATTTAACGTACGTGTCTTTACGCATCTATCGAAACAATCCAGCTCATTTAGCCCGGGCTGAGAGGGGTACAACATCCCCGCAGAAAGACCAAGATTACTTGATAAAATAGTATCTCTCCACTAGGGATTCGAACTCGGGTGTCCTGCGTGCAATAGCGAAAAGCCTAACCGCTACAGCACATACCCCGGTACTCCCTCCTTGAATTCCCATGGTTTACTCTAACTGACCAATGCGCTATCTTAGAATTACAAAGTTCTGTCGGACACTTTTAGCCCTTTTGAGTTACTATGACCGTGAGGTCAGAAACCAAATTTTGTTCTATCTGCTCAGTCCAAATTATAAGAATGTTCGGAGTCGTTATCAAGATACTCGTAGAATTGCATTCGAAAAATCTTGATGTTGTGAAACTCAAGAGTATTTTCGTCATATTTCTCGAAACTCGATGCTGAACAGATACAACTTTGTAATTCTGGGGTACCGAAGAGTGTGGGCATGGCCGTGTACGGTAAATACGTTAGTATATGCGGCGATCGTGATTGCTCCGCCAGAGTTCAACCTGAAATGAATGCGCCTTCCATGCGTTCAGCGGAGAAATGTTGTTGGGTTTTTGTAACCACAGCTCCCAGGACCTGAATAGTTGCTACTGATTTTTTCTTAAACACGGCACTCGCTTTTGCATAATGACATAATAAGAGTGCACGAAACACCAGTTCGTTGCATTCATGACAGTTAACAGCACGGCTTGTTGGTATGACATGAATTAAACTTTACGGGTGCCTTTTCTTTTAAACTATTTAGACTGTTTCAACGTTGTAGTCAAAACTTGAACAACATGGTCAAATAAAATACAATTCCATGGCACGTTAGTTAGTACAGCCATTTAAGCGACTTTTGTTTCACTTGACATGTCGCTACCTTAAAATTACAAAAAGCAAAGTTCTATCTGACATTTTCAGCTGCTTTGAGTAACTAAGGCCAAGAGGCCAGAAACCAAAGGCTCTATCTGCTCACTCAAAATCGTAAGATCATTTGGAGCCGCAAGATATTCAAATAGTTCATTTGAAAAGCTTGACATAATAATTTTGGAACTCAAAATTGTTAAAAATCAAATTTCTCAAAACTAGGTTATGAGCAGTGAGCAGATAGATCTAGACCTTTGAATAGAAGTAACGATGTGTTAGAATTTTGAAAGTGATCGACCTTCTAGTTTAAGTGAAGCGCTTCGATACCATGGACCTTTGAGTCTCGACAGATAATCTGAAAGAGGTATGCATGATATTGCTTTGCTTGGGCGATAAACGTGGATTGACACTTTTAAAATGTGCGAGATTAAACGTGCGTGTGATAGCGCTCGAAATCTGACGGTATGCAGTAGCGAGCGTCGTAAAACTCTTCTCAAACTGAAACTGAAAACTGATATTTCAGTCCACAGAGGAGGCGCGGCAGTGCGGCCACAGGAGAAGTTTGTTGACTCAGACCTCGTCACGGTGTGCGCGCATTCTCTTCCTGCCCTCTCCTCGACGAAGTTGCACATTATTCTATGAACACATTCGGACCGCCGCACTTCGGAGCAGATTCTTTTTGTGTTAGGTAACCTAATCTCAGTGGAGCAACGTGGAACTACTTACCAGTGAAGGAGCATGGTACGTAAGTATCAGCAAAACAATATACAATGGGAGTTCATCGAGGGTGCATCATGCAGAGATTTGACGGACGCGGCGAGAGAGTATTATTTCGAAACATTTACGCTTGGTGGACGGAACAACAGCTGAAAGAACAAGACAGTGGAAACTGAAAACTCCATAATGTGAACGTGGAAGGAAGACTTTGAAACTTGACATTATATTTCATACGACAGAAAACATTCTTCAATTTGTTATCTGGCTCCACACGTGTTTAATTTGATTGGGGTTTGATGAATGCACTGGCCGTGGACAGTCACGTGGTGTTGTTGCGGTAGCCCCGAGGACATAAATAGTAACTACAGCTTCCTTTATTCCGTTGAATAGTTTAAAATGAACTGAGCTATACGAGTGCAGCATTTTGTATCCTGGAAAATGAAATGATACACAGTATTACATTATGATACATAATGATATATTATATAATAGTATGGTTGAAACAGATGTAAGGAAACAAGTCATCTGTGTTTACGTGGAAAGACTTTGAAACTTGACATTTTATCCCAGACGACAAAAAACAAAACAAGCAACAACAAAAACAAGCAGACGTCCTCATTTCTTATCTCTTGGAACATGAACCAATACACCTGATGGTTGCGATAGAAGGAAGGAAAAGAGCCATGCGCTTGAACCTGAGTAACCTGGTGGGCTGTGTGATGATGGTGGTCACCGCTCTGGTTATCCTCAACGTGGTGGTCATCCTACAGTCGCCGCGGGCAGAGCCAGACTTCTTCTCTCAGTCTCAGCAGTCCCCGGATAGAGACGTCTCAGGTACCTACGTCACGTGGTTTTTCTTTTTGTTTTGTTTTGTTCTATTTTGTTTTGATTGTTTTGTTTTGTTCTATTTTGTGTTTTGTTTTGTTCTATTTTGTTTTGATTGTTTTGTTTTGTTCTATTTTGTGTTTTGTTTTGTTTTGTTCTATTTTGTTTTGATTGTTTTGTTTTGTTCTATTTTGTGTTTTGTTTTGTTTTGTTCTATTTTGTTTTGCTTTGTTTTTTTCTATTTTGTTCGGTTTGTTTGTTTGTTTGTTTTTTTCTATTTTGTTTTGCTTTGGTTAATTATGGTTGTCATATTTCCGTGATGTTGTTACTTATCGCAGGCCCACTTTTTAATAAATTTAGGTACTTTTTGCAAGCTTGCTGAAGTGGGTAGTAGGCGGGTGCTCTGGTGTGGTTTGCTCCTTCTTTCCTCTCAATCATCTATCATCCTTATCTGTCCTACTTCTATTTTGTGTTTATTACTCTGGAACACCTATAATCTTCGTTACACAGTTATGGCCGTATAGGGCAGGAATTGCGCAACGAACGACCATTGTGACATAGATAAAGGGTAGGGAAAGGGTTGATGCTTGGGTTAGGGTTAGAGTTTGGGCTCGGGCTAGGGTTAATGTTAGGGGGTGTTATGTTAGGGTTAAGTTTAGGGCTAGGCTTTGGGCTAGGGTTACGGTCTAGGCTGGGGCTAGGGTCAGGTCTCTTTTTTATAGTGTTTGTAGAGATGGTCACTTGTTACAGAGGTCCTTCCCGTCGTTATGCTGCAAGCGCCATAAAACACGTACTAAAACTAAAACTAAACAGCTCGCCGACGTTACGTTGTTTCTTGTGTTGCTTTTGACTTTGTTGTTCTGACAGGTTTGCTGCTGTTCTTATTTTTGCTGGTACTGTTGATCTTATTTGAAACATTATTTTTCAGGCTTCTCCGTACCTCCTCCTTCTGTTTCTGTGACGATAGCTATGTTCACTACAGTAAATCACTCCACGACTTCCATAAATTACGCTTCTGCCACTGTTATTGCACAGTCCAAATGTCGTGTTGCACATGCTACTTACGCTTGGGAAACTATACCAGTTTGCGTTTTCAACTTTAAAATATGAGTCTCTCTCTCTCTCACCCTCTTTCACACACACACTCTCCCCCCCCCTCTCTCTCTCTCTCTCTCTCTCTCTCTCTCTCTCTCTCTCTCTCTTTCTCTCTCTCTCTCTCTCTTACACACACAAACACACACACACACACACACACACACACACACACACACACACACACACACTAACAAACACACACGCCAGACACTCACACTCACACCCACGTACGCACACACACAGACACACAGACACACATACACACACATACACACAGACACGCACACTCACACACGCACGCGTATACGTGCGAGCTTGAGTACGCGTGCAAAAATATTGCTCTTTAATATTTATTCCTGTTTTACCACAATAGCCTACTAAACTTAAAATTATGAGCAGGGGAAATATAATATTTTATGTCCCTATCTTTTGTGGTGTCGACGGTTAAGTTGAGCCTCGTATGAGTTTATCTTTTTTTCTTAACCCCCCAACGACATCAACTCATATCCATACTCGACTGCATAACTATAATCATTATTAATATTGTTATTGTACACACGGCGCACCGGCGGTGGAATTTTAGTTGCCGCGGGGGATTCCTCGCCGAGCGCCTGATCACGTCGGGGTCACGGGGGGTCAGCTCCCTGTCGCCGCTCAGTCTGTGCCGACTTAACTTTTCGTACTTTTTAACCGTACGTTTTAGGTGTATCCTTGTACTTACAGTAATTATCATTAAACGCACTCATAGCATAGGTTTCTGATTTTGATACTTAAAAAACAACGGACATTGTATCTTTTATGGTTATTTTGTTAGACGCTCTTGAAATAAGCAATGCTAAACTGTGATTTGTTTTGACAAATGTTGCTGAAAAAAAATCAATATAAAAAAAGGGGGCTCGACAAAACTTGTCGAGCTTTTAGAATAAGAACGACACAACATAGATGCAAGTACTCACAAAAAACTGTATCTGCGCGAATGATAGAAAGCTGTATTTCTGCACCTTAATCCATCTTGGACACATTATGATGAAAAGTGTTATGCGACACAGCAGTTCCATCATTTACAAATGTCTAATACAGTTGTGAATATACACATACACAAATCGTTTTAAATAAAATTGATGTTGTGGTCTCTCAACGAATCGACTGTAGTGCCATAATAGGTGTACACAGAATAATGCATGTGTGTTATATGTTACACATTCAAGAAACGTCTTACATTTCTCAATTAATTCTAGGTGCTGTCAGTTGACTGAAGCACAGGGGCAACTTGCAGTGACTGGGTTTTCAATATAAACTCTAGCTTTTTGGTGACATTGTTAATTCCGCAAGCTCTTTTTTCTAGTTTTGCAATCTGTTGGTGGCTGGCTTCTGTGCCCTGTTCTCCTAATAAACCAAGTCCAAACTTGTGCTTCTCCATCCAGCTGATGCAATGATGCTCTAAAATGTGTTGCTTGGGAATGATCTTATTGGGGAAACAGCGTCTGTAGAGTGTCATATGTGAGGTAGCGTGGTGGAATCAGGCTCTCGTCAATTTTTGGGCATGTAGAGTTATTGGTATCACCTTAAAGCTTGTTCGCTTGTCTTTATTTGGATGAAAACAAAATCCATTTATCTTGAATACAGGTCAAGATATTTGTGAAAGAAGGAGGTGGGGGTCACCTGTTTTCAAAAGTAAAATAAGTGAGAAAATGGCTGCCAAAGATTAGTTATTTCCTTAGATTAAGAGTCCATGGTAACAGAAAATTTACTTTTTTGTGCCTTTAATCAACGTTTATCAGAAAAATGCACTCAGAAGTGAGTTCTTCAAAGGGCATGAAAGGTGTTGGGCCAAAAAACATAAATTTGATAAAAATTCACAAACCTGCGGGAAAATGCGCGTTTCTTCACTTTGATTATTTTGACTATAGCCTGATTCCACCACGCTGCCTCACATATAATAATTATTGTCAATGCTTGCTTTAATTGAGGGCAGCTCCTCTAGAGTGACCGGTCTGGTGTGGGAAACAGCCTGATGAACATCACAGAAGGCCTGGTTCAGAGAATTGAATATCAGCTGTACTTGATGAGCCTCGTCAGCGATGAAAGGGTTGAGTGTGCATGCACGCGTTTGGGAGACTATCTCTTCCGTGAGATGTTGGAACACTTTGGAAACTAGGTAGTTATGACACTGATTGCCTATGAAAGACCTGCTATGATACGCCTGAGGGGTTATCCTGTGTTGGCTGAGAATGGAGTCAAGAGATAATGCTACTGGGCCAGTTCTGAGAGTGAGGTCTTGATAAGTTACAGATGACAGTATGTACTCTGTTTCCTCTAATTTCTTTCTGTACTTGGCGGTGTCATCAGCGTGTTCACAAAACACAAGGCAGCTCCTCAAATGCACCAGTTTCTCCTGTGTTTCCTTCAAAACATTCCACTGACTGCCGTATTGCTTCACAGATTTCCCCAAGTCTGTTAATGTCTCGTCCCGATCGTTGACAATTTTTACATCAATTTTGTGAGTGGCCTCTTCCAAAGGTTTGTGGTGTTTGAGAACTACGCCAAGGAAAATATGTAGGTATGGAGGTGCTACGTGGTCTAAAGGAATGTCTAACAGTGGTTTGTGGAGGCAATTATTGTACCGGGCCGCTTCCTTTTTGTCGCACCCATGGCTTTGAATGAAGGCAGCGAGGTCAGCGTGAAGATCTGACAGTTGGCGCTGTTCAAATGGGCCAGCTGTTCTTGAGGAATGCATTTCTCTTCTTGGCATGAGACACCAAAGGCATGGATATGTGCCTCGGGGACCTGAAAGGCCGTACACCTTACATAGAAAATCATAATCTCCGTTGAGAAATAAAATGATTTTCTTGCCCTTCCAAGTGTGACTGCTAAGACATTTTATGTCGGCATCGACTCCAAAGTGGAGAAACCTTTCCAAATTTTCCTAATGATCCCTAACTGTGGCCAAAGCAAAAGACAACAGTGTTTTTCTGGCAATTTGGTTTTTCCACGTTGGTAATTTGCAGAGTCATCTTAAGAGAGTTTTTGCCATGGTCACCCCCTACTTTCACCCAGACTTCGTCGTCGGGTATTTGCCCATAATGCCACGGCAACATATTATTTTTGTCATAGGCGTCTAAAATATAATCAACCAAAGACGGCAACTTTACTACCCTGGCCAAATGCTCTTTAGACTCTGTCCCATTCTCGCTAATAAAGTACTTCTGTTCCACTTGGACAAAATCTGACACTATTTCTCTGAAAAAAACCCTAACGGATGTCTCACTTTCCAGGAGGATTCCTGCCTTCTTCAGATGTTTTCTTTGGGTTCTTCCCTAACGCCAACTGAGCCCAAGTGCCTCGGACATGCACAGAGTTTGTTGTTTAGTCAATTTTAAGTGCTGAGCTCCTTTTGTTTTATTGTAGATTACCTGTCTTCGGCACATGGGAACTGTCTTTAGTTCTGAAGCAAATTGCTTGTCCAGGGCCTCTGGTGATTTTCCTGACATTTTCATTCTGGCTTCTGATAGCCATCGAGCCCTCCTCCGTTTGGTTGGTGTCTTTGCTGCAGAAGACTTTTTTCTAGGCACTAAAGTTTTCTGTAGTACAAGGGGTTGTCCTTTCGTTTTGCAAGAGAATGTGCTGTGGTTTGGGTCTTGGAATAATTTTCTCTTTACAAAATGTGTGAGGAGCAGTTCCTCTTTTTTTGAAAGAGGTTCTGAGACTGGTTTTCGTAAGGAATCTAGAAGTGTCTCCTGCCGCGGTGTCACTGGAGAGGTTGCTGTGTCTGCTGTCCGGTTTTTTAACGGTGTTGATGTTGCTATTGGGATTTCAGAAAACTGTAGTCGTAAGCTGTCATCTTCATTACTAAACGGTGTTTCGTCACCCGGATCCAATTCGTCTTCATCTCTATCAATTACTTCTTTCTTCGTTTTGATGCACCCGTTGCCTAAACTTAGTCTATGAGCACAAAGAGAACAGTTTGAAGTAGTGTTCTCCTCACTGAATTGGCACCAAACTTCTCGAGCTTTTCCTTCAATTTCTCTGGCCATTTGCAGAGACTGTCCACTTTCTGCTTTCTTCACATGCAGAAGCATACGTGCGCATTTCCGACACAAAAACTGAGAATGAATGTCTGGGTTGTCAGTTTTGGTGTCTATTCCAAATACAAAAAGTATATCTCTGCTCTTGTCTTTACACAGTTTAAAAAAAAATGATTTCTTATCTTTTCTAGTTGTATGCAGGCTGCCACAGATACGACACAATTCATGAACAAACACAAAGTGTCTTTCTCTTGTGTGTTCCATGGTAAAGTAGGAGTCAAACGGGTAACACTGAGTGAATTTTGTCAAAAGCATCTTTCTTCTCCTATAACTCAACTACTACTATTCGTGCAGATATAAGATTTCTCACGGTGAAAGACATGCTATTCGTCGTCAGTTCAAGACATACTTTGGAGAGATCTGTCGTGCATATGTTAAATAAACAAGCATTTATTCATACATATGTAACTAAAAATAGACCGATTAGGGTACTCTACAAACACTTGTCTAGATCTAGAACACGGTAACTAAAAGTAACAGAATCGGGCGAAAAGTGACGCCGTGTACAAAACAAAAGATCTCCAGCAACGCCTCTGACGACATCAAGGACTTTAATATCATAGCGAGCAAATTTTTAATTATTACAGAGAACGTTTTTTCTTAGCGTGGTGAACTGAGGAAAATTTGGGAAACTGCATTGTACTGTTTTAAAGGATACATTGTGTTATCCAACACAGCTAAAAATCAAAATCGCAAGTTGTACAAGCTATTTAATTTTGAATGGCTGGATCGCTCGTTGGTATTTGTTTGACAACCTTGTCGCTTTTGCTGCCGATTGTATTTTGTTTGTCTGTTTTGTTTTTCTGTTTTGTTTGTTTGTTTTGTTTGTTTGTTTGACTGAATGTTTTATTTTGTTTGGACTTTTGTCTGGTACAAGTTTAAAAGGAGAAAAAAAGGGCGTAAAACTGGGGGCGGGGAGGTCTGGCGATGATATTTCTTTCTTCTTGCCTTTACTTTGTTGTTGAAGTGCAAAAGCTGCATGCTTTGTCTGTATCCCCCCCTCCTCCTCATCCTCCTCCTCCTCCTCATCACCATCACCATCACCATCATCATCATCATCATCATCATCATCATCATCATCATCATCATCATCATCATCATCCTCGTCATCATCATCATGGATATGTGCTATGTAAAAGAAATTATTATACTTATAATTATTGTTATCATTATTATTATTATGTTATTGTTATTGTTAATGTTCTTGTTATTATTATTACTTTTATTATTATTATTATTATTATTATTATTACTATTATTATTATTATTATTATTACTGTTATTATTATTATTAAACCACATCGTAGCACCCGCCAACCATCCACCCCCCCCCCCCCCCCACTATAGTATTATTCTGCTGTTCAGTTTTTCAACCCAAAGCTTGGGGAGAAGATACCAGACGACCAGCCACAGCCCACAACGTCACCGCTGACCTGCCCAGGATAAAGGTCAAGGTCATCTCCACTCAAGTCTGTCCAGGTTTGAGCGTCGAATTCTCAACATCTGCGGATGGAACATTCCAGGTAACTTAGTTAAAGATTGTCTGCCTGCCTGTCTATCTATCTATCTATCTATATAATTATCTATCTGGCCAAGCACATGGTCCACACACGCAGGGTCGGAAACCCGCCTCCTAAATATTTATCTAAATTGTGTTAACGGGGGCGTAAAACAACTTTCTTAAAAAAAATACAATGGACAATGTCAGACATTGACTGACGAACTTTTTATTATAATCAGTATTATTATTATTATTATTATTATTATTATTATTATTATTATTATTATTATTATTATTATTATTATTATTATTATTATTATTTTTATTATTATTATTATTATTATTATTATTATTATTATTATTATTATTATTATAATTATCATTATTTTTCTTCTTCTTCTTCTTCTTCTTCTTCTTCTTCTTCTTCTTCTTCTTCTTCTTCTTCTTCTTCTTCTTCTTCTTGTTCTTCTTATTCTTCTTCTTCTTCTTCTGGGGGAACAGGAGGGTGTTTGGGTGTCCGTACATTTTCTCCGACAGAAAAAGTCCCTCCCATACTTTTTTTTTCGCGGCCCCCCCCCCCCCCCCCCCCCCCCAAAGCGAGTGGACGGGTACCGGGCCCTCCTGTACTCGGCTCACCTGGATGAGGAAGAGGGCGTGGTGCGGGTGGTTCTGCTCCGACTCCGGACCAACCCTAAGGGCGGCCTCCTGTGCCAGGGATGGTACCCCGGGCGGGAGGGGGAGCCCCTGGAGGTCGTGGAAGGCGGGATCATGGATCTGCCGGAGAGTCATGGGCGGAGGTGAGTCAGTCACGGACATAATTGGTCACTTTTAAGGACAAGCGGGCTAACCCAGATTTCTGGGGTTTCCAGAAATCTTGACCTATACCAAAAGTGGGCGTTGCTCTACCTATAGAAGACGTTTGGTTTCATTGGTGCGTATGTGTGTTTGCTTATAAGGAAAGCTCTCCTTGTCTTTTAAAGAGACTGGATAAGGATCCAAAAACTTTAACTTCAATTTTCTCAAAACAGCATTTATCGGGATAGCTCCCTTGTGCAATTATGGCGGCTGGGGTGGGCTTCTTTTTTAAAAAATTGTCGTGAGTGTGTTACCGCGCTCGCCACTACATAAGGTCATAAGAGCGCGCTGGGCACACCAAACATTTTCAGTTTTGAATTTTGCCCAGGTGGCGGCCGAAGCCTACTCTTATCAATTTTGGACCACCTAGGAATCTTTAACGCGAGCAACTTGCACACAGGACCTCCGAGATTTTTCGCCCTTGTCCATGAAGGCTAGGTGTAGATCTTGCCTACCATAAGATCAGGGATGTGGCTGAAAGACAGCAGTAAGAAGGAGCCAAGGAAAAGAAGTAGAAAAGCTGCAGAAAGAGTCAGGACCCCCGAGGAGGGGGCAAATGAGATGAGGGGGTGGGGGTGGGGGCAGAAAGGGGAGACAGAAGCAGATGACAGAACATTGTTAGAGAGCAGGAATAGGTGTCAAAGGAGAACATTTTAGAGAAGAAACTTTCCTATCGCTATCCGAATTAGAACCCGGGATCTATTGAATGAGAGGCGAACACCTTAACCTCTAGGCCACAAAGCCCCAAGACTGAGGGGTAAAGAAAAAAATAATCTTGTAACAAGTTTTGCCACAAAAAAGTGTCATTAGTTAGCTGCGACGTAGGCCATATGCCGGTGTAAAATGTGTGTGAGAAGCAGGAGGTGCTGTGAACGATCCCAATGTTTCGCGTGACAGAGATTTATAGTATTTTATACGACTTTATGAAGAAAATTGTTTTAATCCAGTCTCAATTATTGTGGGAAAAAATGTATTAAATTGAGACAAATCGTAAAGTTTTCAGATGGTTGACGGAGGGAGATCAGGATACTATAGCTTTTTTGACAGCATTTGAGCAAAAGAATGAATGGCGACCCATGATCGTCGATATCTGTCACAGTTCTGGCATTTGATAATGGTGATGCTGCAACACTGTAAGTTATATCTAAAAGGCAGGAACTCCGAATTAACTCTCCATCTCTGAAAGGACCGGGTCAAATGGGAAAAGTATATTTGGCACAGCATAGTATAATACGAGTAGGATGGGCACAATTTCAACAATGTTTGTCATGGCGTTTTCTTTTAATCTCGAAGTGTGTTTTTCTTAAACAGCCAGCTCGAGCTAATGAGTTAGTGTCTCCCCCCC